TGTAGGTGAACAGAGAGCATGCTTGGTGGAACAACCTGTATAATAATAATAATTTGATATAATATGTAATAGGTATCTGCCTACTTTCCACGCGCACGCTTGTGTGTGTGAGAGTGTGAAGAGCTCGTTGTATACATACCGTACCAAATTCGTCGGACCGAGCACTTGACACGGATCTTTCGGTGTCGGGAAAACGTTTATAGGTCTTACCGGCCGGACAAGGTTATACAAACGCAACTGGCCGTGTACAMCCGTATGATAATATATTGGTATGATATAGTATTATTATTATTATTCTACTGTTTCCCCGTTCCCGTCCGATTTCATCACGTGTAGTATAACGCCCGCGCCCAAGACGAGTCGGCGGCAGTCCATAATATTGGGTTAGATACACAACTGTATATTCAATAACAGACACCTATCATATTATTATGATATAATCTTATAGACAKTTGGGTCTCTGAATGGTACATATTCYATTCGGAATCGYYAAGTCCACTCGTCCAGGTGTGTTTRATTTGTGCAGCTRGTAAATTCAACTCATATCAATTTATTTCTCCATAAATTGTTGTRTTGATGAAAAAAATATGATTATGTTTACTCGTATACAGTTTGAAATGCTTCAAAACCTTTTAACAACAGTTTTYAGAACGGCTTACATTGGATTATGGCACTAATGGTACTATCAAAATATTGAAAAAATAAAGRAATCAGATCAATATTGTAGTGATCGCTGCGCAGGACGCGAGGATCGGTACCACAATAATTATTTAACGACGTAGCACGTTCGTTACAATCTTTAGACGTTGTTGAGAAGAGATAGGTTAGGTTAGAGTCATGAAAAACTCAACACTTCGATTTATTAAGTTTAATACAATTAAATGTTTATTACTATAAGTATTTATTAAGTTACAATAACTAGGTGCAAAATCGTAAGCTCAAAGGACTTCGACTGATGCAATTATCTCTCTAAAACCGTTAAGTTCTCTACCTGTATTTATATGGGTTCTATCAATGGCGTACGATCGCATGATATTTCAATATTCTAATATTACTTCCTTTTACTGTCTAATTTTCATTCTTTAATGAATAGATAAAAACAACTTGTTGTTTTCACTTTTGACCTAGGCTTCCTGTTATTTGGGTTATTTATGATTCATAAACTATGAATAATAACTACATTCCCTAATTATACTAAATCTTAGATTATAATATTATAATATGTATAATTTATACTTAACTTGACTATACTAGTGTTGGGTTTAATACAATATTATTATTTACATCTATGTGATTGATTATTTTAAAACACATTTATGAACACTATTAAAAATAATTTAACTAGTTATGGCTACTTTAAAATTGGTTATTTATAATACTTGAAAAAATAATATATGAAGCCTGCTCTATTTGTAAACCTATGTTCTAACTTATAAAACTTTTAAGAATATTTATTTTTATAGAAACATATAACTCCTAATTTATCAAAGCTCTCGTAATATATTATTATTTAAACAATTTTTTACTCATTTTTATATCATTGACTTTATTCAATAATATTAATTTTATATTGTATTTGTATTAAAAAAATATTATGATAAGTATTTAGTAAATATAATTATCATTGAACTCATTCTTGCAAGTAAATAAAATTAAAACTAGATTTTATATTATAAATTTTTCTTTACAGTATTCTTTATTTAATAAAATATTATTGTAGGTTGCGAATTACAAATTATTTTTTTTTTTATTTAATTTCCTTGAATTCGAATATTTACTTTTAATACTAGAATTAAATTYATATTTTTAGAATTATAGGCTTCATAAGATATAATATTGTAAACAAATTCATTTTGATTATTTAAATTAGATACTTAGCACTTTAAAAATCCCCATCATCTATCTCAAAAAAATATTTCATAAACGATAATTTAATATTATTTTTTATATTAGGTATTGAAACTTGAAACGGAATTTAAAAATCAATTATCATAGTTAATATTCCAATCATCTGATTGATCGTTNCGACAACCGCACCACAAGCAGTTTAATTATTTATTACAAACACCTCCAACAACCAACATCGCCATCATGCAATTCACCGTAAGGGTTCTGCTGAAAGGTATTGAAACTTGAAACGGAATTTAAAAATCAATTATCATAGTTAATATTCCAATCATCTGATTGATCGTTRCACAAGCTTTCACTGCTTGAACTTGATAACTCAAACGCTATACGTCTTCTCAATATCATTGATAATTCGTTGGAAACTTCTTGTTTTCTTGGCACAAGCTGAACGGTTTTTTTTAGACTTACACCTATGATAACTTATTATCAATCATCTTGAAAATTATTTAGAATTATAATAGTATTTTGAATACTTAAATATGACATTTCTAACCCTTAATTATTTCATTCATCAATTCTTTATGTGCAATTCTTAATGGTCGATTAACAAACGCAGTCTTGACAAATTGGTCCAACGTCATTTTTGTAGGTGGTTTATCTTGGCTAACAGACATTAAAATATATATATATATATATATATTATATATAATTACTTTTAAAAATATTCAAACAAATCGCATATACATTCATTTAATAATATGACGTTAAAAATAAATATATGCTCAATTAAAAATAATTACAATGATAGTCGTCAATACATACTATAAAAAACTATGACTAATAGGTGCATATATTTTTGGCCAGTTACATACGAAATATATTTTGTTTTCTCAGTATAATATTATTTATTTATTTCAGAACAAAATATAAATTCAATTAAAAAATCAAGGATTAAGGCGAAAATATATTTTAGGTATCTATATATCAGTATTGTAAAATTAAGCATGGTTTTTTATAAAATATAACACAAATTATGAATTTCCATCACAATTATGTACATAATAAGTAAAAGTATAGGACGTATAGAGTGCTTAGCCACGTGTAATGCTCAAGATTATGCATAATACACGTATTACAGTAAAATACGAGATGTTGAATAATATAACAAATAGTAAACCTGGCTGTATTGTTTAAAATAAAAAAATGGCTAAAAGATTAAAAGTACTAAGCAGTCTCTTGTTTAGAACACCATTAATTAAAAAACATATGATACCCGTATTTGTATCATATATATATATTCAATATTATTAACATTTTCCATAAAACCTCTACGTACAATATATTTAAAATCATTTCGTTTGAAAAGCTTTTTCTACTTTTACTTTGTAATTCAACCTTTGTTGACATTTTATTTTGGACGCTTTGAACAGCTTAAATACGTGTTTATAATAGATTTAAAAACTTATTAGTTTGACAGAATTATTATTTGCACGTGATATTTGTTTAAATGAGTTGAACTTTCCTAAGCTTATTTTTAAAAGCAGATAAAGACAGAGATGGAGCAAAAAATTATAATTTCAAATAAAACGAAAAACACATACTTAGCCATAAAACTGAAATGGCGTTTATTAACTTATAGATATATTTATTATAATGATATAAATAAATTGCACACAACGAAATCAAATACAAACAATTGTTAAATTATGTACTTGAATTTGAATAGGTAAAAATAAATACATGGAGACCAATTTATTATTTACTAATATAATGTTTAATCACATACGAAAATAATAATTCATAATTGATTTATTTTACAGCCGGTATTATTATACGGATAACTGATACTTTAGATTGCACAYCTATCTTTTTTATAATATTCAACTTCTTATTTAGAGTATTCATTCTACCCAAARTATATGATAAATATTTAAATGTCAATTTATATTTTACATTTATATAACGATTATGAATRATAATAAACTTTTGAAATATCCAAAAAACGCGGTGAGTTAGTTCATTCAAGACTGTTAATTACTGCACWTAACTTAATCGCTTAAACTTTAAACGCTATTATATGAAATGAAAAAATTAACTGTTTTTATTGAAAAACGGAGAATAATGAAACCAAAAAGTCGAGTGAATAATATCATCATCATGGGAGTCCGTCCAATGAATCGCTACGTCTCATTGGCGCAGTATGAAATCAATGACTAAGTGCACACATTTCCACATTTTATTAAAACATATTACACGTCTATTAAATTGTCTTTGTTATTGAATATAGATTAGGTTTTTGTTTATTTCGAGGAAATACTGCTACTAATGATTGAAACGGGAATACGGGAATCCCTGTCATCGACAACCACGACGACGGTTAAAAACAAAATTAAAAAAAGATAAAATATGTTTGATTATATTTTCAATATTTTCATATTGACTTGAACATTGAAAAAATTTCATAATAAAATATAAATTCTTATTGACTTCTAAATACAATTAAATATCATTAGACTTTCCGTAATTTAKCATTGGCAGTGATTATTGTAGTGTGCGCTAAGTAATCGATGTAAACGTGCAAGTGGACGCGGTCCGACCGGCGTGACGCGACTGCAGCTGACGGCGCCAGTTAGTCCTGCTGCAATGACAGGCCAAAATTATCGGTTCGAGGTCGGCTGCCCGCGTATAATATCACCATTATCACGATAATAATATTGTTATTATGATGGTCATATCGATATCACACTACGACGGTGGCGATGATGTTAATTTTACTATCATATTAAACCCACTCACGTCGACGACGGCAATAATCAACATGGCCGGTACCTACCTACCTACCCTACCGCTCCAACATGGTATTGTGTACGTGACCTCACTAAGTCCGAATGGCCACCCCTCGTTCCTCCTATCATGCCACTTTCTCACAACATCAAGCTACCGGACGACCGGGTGCGGTGCCCGTTTTACTGTTTTGGGACTCGCTCGAGTTGACGACAACGACGGTATGCCGATCTCGTCGCGCGCTATATACGCAACTTTGCGAAACTGCTCCGCCGGTCGTTGCGGAGAAGGGTAGGTCCTGGGTGGGTGGGAGCTATGCGTCTGCGGCTCAGTATAAAAGTTGTGCGTCCGAAGCCCAAAGTCATCAGTCATCAGCAGCTCGTCCAAGTCTCCGACAAACGACAACCGCACCACAARCAGTTTAATTATTTATTACAAACACCTCCAACAACCAACATCGCCATCATGCAATTCACCGTAAGGGTTCTGCTGAAGTAGCATTATTATCGTTGTTGCGACTCGGCGTCGTCGTTTCGCCGTACCTACCCTAATGTCTAAAGTAATTTTTTTTTTTTTATCCCGGATGCAGGTGTTGATCGCCTTTGTGCTCGTAGCCGCCGCCGTCGCTTCCCCGATCGCCGACAAGCCCGCTGCCGACAAGTCCGAATCCGTTAAGGACAAGCGCGCCATCTACGGTGAGTCACCGCGATATCGCTCGCGTTGTTTTTATTATTACTATATAACTACAGTTACGACGRTGATATTAATTAWTTGATATATCACAGCGATATAACATTATATATCTCCTGTCTCTGACCCAATCTTAATATTTTTGTAATTCTTCGCAAAAGCAAACGACTATAATCGAAACATTTTTCTAGATGTGTTTACTTAATGTCATCTGCCGTCATCGTTAGGTTGGTTAACTTATTATATTATGTTTATGTCACGTCTGCTTTTGATCTTCAGCCGTCGCCCCGTCTGTATACCACGCTCCGGCCGTCTACCACGCACCCGCTGTGTACCACGCACCKTCCGTGTACCACGCACCGGCCGTGTACCATGCACCGGCCGTGTACCACGCACCAGCCGTGTACCACGCACCGRCCGTTTACCACGCACCGGCCGCCGCTACGTCCTACTCCAGCGTCAGCATCTCGCACCCAGCCGTTGTGGCCAGCGCCCCTGTCTACGCACCAGCTCATCCAGTGTACTACCACCGTCGCTGAACGGACGACGTGACGGTAAGCGAAAACGGTACGGTGGTTAGCCGTCGGACTAACGAAAGCCATCTGTGCATCGTGTTTTGATTCGTTGAACCATACTTTTATTACAATTTTCCCGGAATGGTGACATCGCAAGATTCTTATAAATTAACGTAACCGCAAAGTAAAAATGTTCCTGTTTTTTTCGTCGGGATGTGGTTTTCTTATGAATGTTTGATAACAATATGATACACCGATTTAAAACGGTAAAAAAAATGCGAAAACGTGTTACCTCGACGATTTTAGTCATCTGAAAAAAAAAATCTCAAATTCAATCATTCCGCACCTGAAACGCGCACGGAAACTTGTGAACCACAAGTTTGCCACACCACACACGCCCACTAAACAGTTGATTCGTGTGTTTAATACCATTTGTATTTATTTTCTAGATTCTGAAAACATTTCACGTGCCAAAGACAGACCAACCGTCCGATTACACTGATGCAGTGGATGTGGCCGTAGAAAATTTCACAATCTTTAATCATGTATAATATATTTTGTCATTACATGTAATTAATTTATTACGATGTAGAATTAATTCACTCAATAATAAAAACATATATATATGTATAATACAAGCATTTTATGTTTTTTTATTCCAAATATTATATATTTTATTCTTTCCTGTTAATATATTATTATCCCGATAGAAATGTACGTATACAAAATATACTATTGTACAAAATATTTATATTATACTTAATATGTATCTCTAGTAATTTATATTTCACCTGAACGATACATTTGGAAGTCCGAATTTGTATTGATTACTTGTTCGATTGAATGGAATGCGCCTTTAAAGTAGATCTGCTTCAACCTGCAATCTTGTGTAGAATTTTACACGTGCGTTGTTCTTTCCTAAGTTGCTGTCATGTTTGCGAGGTATTAATTTTTTTAACGAAAAGCCTGATTATACGTCAAATTAATGCAACTTTTTTAGGTCCTCCGAAATTACCTATATATATTATATTGGATGTAAATAAATTCTATATTTCATGTTTGAAAATATCGTCTATAACTAAAGAACAATTAACGAGTGATAAAAATAATGTACCATTTCTTAAATATTTCAAAATTCAAAAAAAAAAAAAACTTGGAGAAAACTTAAGAGTGATGGCTGTATAAGCGAGTCTAGTAATTTTGACTAAACAATTAATAATTATTAATTATGTAGGTATATTGTATGTGGCTTATATTATTTTTTCAATTAGTACTCAGGTGGCAGAAATATTTAGCTACAATCCTATTCAGAGTTATTCATCCAAATGGTATTTTTGTGAAATGAGCACTCGACCAAGCTATTTTCACTCAAATATATGACCTTAGGGATCCTAAGTTAGGATATTGTCAAATGTGTACGAGTACGACCTATTTAAGACTGTGCGCCTGGTCAGTCCATATATTTGCACAGAATGGCATACAATTATAAATCCAAAAGTGTTATTATATAAATAATAATGTCATAAAATATAATACATAAGTTGTCACGCATTTTCGTCGTTATGCATAAAACATGTTAAAAACGTAAACACAAACTCAACTATCTCATCACGATCTAAATTTGATTTTTAAAAACAATTCTATTTCGTCTAATTGTGTATAGTCTTTGTATGGAACTATAGCAATAATGCACGCAGGTAAGGTATTGCTAGTGATCGTTTAAGCATGAAATCTGTTATTTTATTATTTAACAAAATTCTTTATATTTCAAGTATTTACATTGAATTTAAATTAATACTCGATCTAGAAATTATACAGAATAAGAAGTTATTCTAGGATATCTAAGTGAAAAAAATACATAAAAAGTTTGATAATATTTCAGTATGATTAGGTACATGAAAATAATATAAGCAATATACAAAACACCTATAACTATATCTACATATAATAGGTACCTAACAATTAATTTGCAATATCTTAAAAATAAAGTTAATTTACTAATTGCCTAAATTTAGAATGCGGGATTGTTGAATAATATTTATTATTACAATATAGATTTTGGTGACATGTTCATAGATACCTTATGGTATGAATAATGATTTAAGCGTCGATGCGTACTAACAAGTATTAATAACTATCTGTACTATCTGGTGGTTTGTACCATTGATATTATTATATTATTAATTATTATTAAATTGACACAATAATCAATTTAACCGTCGTACCTGTTATTGATATCGAAATCTACACCGATCAGTTCATACGCGATGCACTGCAGAGATCTCATTTTATCCTAACTAGTAACGGCTTCTAACATATACAATATAACTGTTACGATCACAAAGTAATTTATGAAATATTTAGTTAAATTATAAATTATTTGGATTATCGTTTAATTTGGTTGGTGTTAAAATTACCAATAGATATTTCATGAAACAACACCATTTCACACTTAAACACCAACATAGGTAATACATTTCGTTATAATATTTCTCGTAAAAATAATCAGTTAATATCATAACGAGTTGTGTTTGTTCGTTTATACAGGAGACTGACTACGCTTTATACGTCCACGATTGACATTATATAAATATGTGTTTTGCCATCTCTGTCCTGAGAGACATGTTCTCTGAGTGACATCAAGGGCGTCATATAGGCCCTGACACTGGAAAAGTGGCAACATCGTTGGGCTTCTTCTCAAACAAAACTAAATKAAATTAAACTCTCCATYAACCCTTGGCCAACTTACCTTACCAAAAGACGTCATGRAGTAGTAATCAATAGACTAAGAATTGGACATACCTGGCTTACACATCGTCACCTCATGAGACGARAAGACCCTGACCTATGTACAACTTGTGGGGAAGCTTTAACTGTCAAACATATCCTCCTATACTGTCGAAACTACGCAGACACCAGAACAGCCTTAAGCATACCTGAGCATCTATTTGAAGCACTTGGACCCGATCATGAAAATACTGTCAAAATCATAAAGTTTCTTWAAATAACCAAATTGTATAACCTTATCTGACATTTGTATTTGTATTTGTATTTGTATTTGTATCTGTATCTATTTTGTACTTTGTATTTTGTTTTTGTTTTTGTTTTTTTTTTTTTTCTGTTCATCTTTCTCTCACTTCCAATGCTCTACCTCTATATTTTAACGTTATACCTTTATAAATAATCCACATTGTACTTAATACTCATAATGTTGTCTAGCACTTAATTTAATGTTTACATTATACAATATGCTAATAACCTTAGTTGTTGCGGCTTAAATAAAAATAATATGTGTTTGCTTCTACATAATTGTGTATGCGATTTCCTGAAAACGAAAGCTTACGAGCGCTCACTCACCCGTTCATTTATGTGCTATCATATTATATTTTGTAATCATCGATATTGGCACTCGACACAATAGATCAAGAGCACTGAATGACTGCAAAACGACGATAAGTGTTCATCATTTTATTTTTCAACTGTAAGAATGAATATTTTATATAATATGTCACCCACAGTTTGCCACCCTTTCTGGCCCACTATCGAAAATTCCTATTTAATAATATTGTAGTATGAATTAAACTTTTGTATTCCATAATACTAATTACTAGTAGTTTTATTAAACTATACTATGATATCACGTAAAACAAATTTAATTAGTTACTTATACAAAACTTAAAATATTGGTAAGATTAAAATTAAAATTTTCAATATACTTTAATACCCGATGTTAATGTTTAAAAATAAATTAGCACTAGTGTATAGCTACACTGCTACACAGTATTATCATGTACCTTACAATACATCATATAAACACACATAATGTGTATTTTTATAACAATTGCAAAGCGCACTCTTCCATTTATGAACTTGAAAACATAATACAGCTGCTATAATATACTTTTGTCAGCAAACAACATTTCGAATGACAATGGAGTAGCATTATAAATTATAATAGCTATTTTTAAACCTATGTTTATTAATTTGTATAGGTATTAGGCTCCTATTAAAAATTGAGTATACGATTGCTACAGTGATAATACATATTTTATGATTTATTATAATATGGTGTGCGTTTATCAATTTTCAATTATTTAATTTAAATCGAAAATGSTGGCTTTTAATAGCTGTATGATATTAATAACTTATTAATCAGACGACTATGGTCAGCGACATTGGTCATGTTTTGTAACACGTGTTCAATCAAAGAACAATTTCTTCATGATAATGCACGTCATATTGTACTATGATAACGATAGTAGTGTCACAGTTTTTGTAGAGGTCGCTCAAGTTTTTATCATTGTTATATAGTATTACTATGTAAACCTGACCATTGCTCTTTTGCTTAATAAACCTGTGTAGGTTCATATTTTAATACATTTTTCGGGTTTCAGTAGTACTTTAAATAAAATAGTTTAAAACTAATACATAACCATTTGAATTTATAATAGATTTGTTTCTTAATCCTTAATTTATTTAACTCAATTTCAAAAAAAGTATTATATTTGCATATCACCCTTATTATACAGTTTTGTAAATATATATTTGTCACATACCTATAAATTTTTTTACTACACAAAATTGGATTTTTAATTGAGTTTGTTATTTAATAATAATAATATGTAAAGCTAAGAATGTTAAAATTCAAATGATAATAATTTTGGTGCTTTTAATATCATAAAAGTTTTCTAAATTATTAATAACTATAAAAAATATATTTACGAAAGTCACCTATTTTTATAACACGCACAAACATTCATCGAGTTCCATAAACTATTAGTATTATATTGATTTTATATTAAAGGCACAAAACGATTCTAAAGAATATTTACATATTACTTATATGTTTTATAATTTGGTGGTCTCAAACTCAAATTATCAGAGTACCATGTATTTATATGTCAAAGATTCACGTGAAAATATCTTTTTTTTTTACTCATCTCATTACTGAATCCAAAATAAATGAAACCAAATTTATTTTTGCTATTGATTATAATATATTATAATATAAATTATAACTGTTTATTTTAATACTTGGTATTACAAAGATGTACATACATCGACATTTTTGAAGAAATAAATGTTTATTGCGGACCTCTCTGAAAAGGATCGCTAGCCACATGTTTGAGACTACTGTATTAATATTATTGTTCATACCTACAACCTCAGATTATTGTGTTAGATCTTGAACCAATTTTCCGTCATTAAAACGAGTGAATCACAAAATACTTATTTACACATTATAAGTTATATACTTTTTAAGCATCAGTCATTAATGAGTTTTATCTGAACGCTTATCTGTCGTCTTCACGTAAATATATATTCAAATATCAAATTTTTTGTAGCAACATAATGTAGTAGGTACAGTATGTCTATATTTACATATAATGGCATGTATAAAAGCAGAATTTATGATTATTTAAATCACTTTAAGTAATAGAAAAGCCTGCAATGCAAATTTATTACATTATTCAGCAATACAAAAATGTATACTATAATACGCTCATAATAATTATATATAGTCATTAGTCAAAACTCTTAGCTCTAGGACCTCAGTTATTCGTGCGTATACAAACATGGGTTGTAATTTTATTCACGTATTGTACACCACAAAAATATAAATAAATAAATACATTTTTAGTATGTGTCGGTCATTCCTTGACGTGTCGCTAACATTTAATTGGTCGTGTTTAATAATAAACAGTCAGAATAACTTAGATGTTTAGAATTTCACAAATATTTTTACAATATTGTGGACAAATTACAGTGGTCCACATTTTACTAAAGTGCTGCAACTAAATGTACTCTCGAAGGAAGTGGGTGTAAATTACTGGAGTCACAGCCTCACAGGGAAGTTTAGGTATACATTTATAATATAAACTATATTCTATAATAATTCTCTTCAGTGAACTACAAAACTACTTCAGTGATTATTAATTGAATAACTAAATTAATTAAACATTAAATTAAAACAAAAGATGAAAGGTACGCCTTTAACCTTAAAAAATAGGTGGGTGGATGTTTTACAGCACGTGTTCTCAAAATACCACTATATGTTAGTTTCTTGCAACAGTTAGAATATTCATAACACCCAAATCCATGCAAAGTTTTGAATGCTCTGTTTGCTGTATGCCTGTATGTAGGGATCTAAAATTTCATGAAATATATTTAATTTTTGATAATATTTGAAATATTACACGAAACTTTTATAAAATTATTCATTTTGATGAAAAATAAAAATAAAATAATGAGTTAATAATATTGTTGGGTGTTCTGTATTCTGTAAGCACCTCTATACTTAGATAAATGTTAAGTGTACAATGCATATTAGAGAAATATGAATTACATCGTACATTATATAAATTAAATATCGTTTTTACCTCGTCATCGGAAATTAAATATTGACAATCACTAATCAAGTATTATATCAATTGGAACATATAATTATGGTTTTATGCATGAACTAAGATTTATAGTATATCTTAGTTCAAGGTTTTATGCACCATACCAAAAAACAAAAAAAATTGAAAGAAATATATTTTTCAATATTTCAAGTAGGATGAAAGTTTTAAGTTTGAAATATTTCAGAGTGAAAATTACATGTAAAATAATATGTCATACTCATAATTCTATAACTGTATGTGTTATCATAGCAACGGTATCGCGTCTGTTGATATACAAAATTAGGCATGAAAAAAAAAAAAAATGCTCATCGAAAGAACGGCGCCAGACAGGACCTTCGCACTCACCGTTCGTCCAACTCCAACTCAAAAACGTTATCGTTATATTATTATTATTCTTTTTGCCACCATACTACCAAATACCAATTAATATTAATTATCGTCGGCAACTCCGTATACGTGTATCTGTCAACCCACCACCACCGCCACCGCCACCATGGAACACTATAATAATATATTATACATACATGAGTAAAACTTAAAAAAAAACACGACAACTTTATACTTATATTATATTAGATTAATATTTAGGACGTATTACATCGTAATATAAAATAATATACAATCGTGTGGTCGTATAATATACGCATATACATATATATATATTACAGATATACCAACGAATATAATATACCTAAAAAAATAATATTATTTCGTATGTCATATTATATACGGTGAACAGGGATCGAGCTATCGAGGTTGCCACGGGGGACACGGGTGATTGTATCGGCGGGAGTGGGACTTCGTTGTAGTATCATAATTTATTTACCATGTCACTGGATTCCGTAGGAAAAAGAACTGTGTACTAATGATGGGTTACGATAGATAGTATGCATATTATGCCGTTGTATAATATTATAGACGCCTCGACCATATCCAATACCGTATTCCACGCGATCGTCTAAAATACAGCACGCGCTATAAGAGCCTTGAAATTCTTCGACCAAAAAATCGGTTCGCCTATTGTACGCTGACCGCGGCCAGTAGTAGTAAATCGGTCGGTTGATAAGCCGGTTAGTGCGTGAAAAATTTGAGCAGGTCGTTTGTCTGGTGACACGTAAGTTGAAAGTTCAGAGAAAAGAAAACGTTTCAACCGAATAATCGACACAGATCACTTCCCAGTGCTCTCTCGTTCTACTGCAAATATAGTTAACGTCGTTGCAGATTATTCCATTTGGTACGTGACATAATAAGCTAGTTCAACAAGTTTATAGGTGCAGGCCATATATTATTATTTTTATTTCTATCGTAGGTACTGGTTTTATTTATTAAATCATAAAATCATAATTTTAATTATTAATAATTCAAATTAGTTAAATTTCATTCGACAAGACTTAGTGTAAAACCAAAGACGACAGACTGATCGTAATCTTTGTGGACCACGTTGCGAAATGCATCCTAAATTTTATGACCGGTGAAAAACCTCTTATCGCAAATAATTTATTATAAGGCTAGGTGTAAAATATATATTGTGGTGTGCTGAATTGCGGTGGAACTAATATTATAATTTCCATCACATTTTCATGGACAACCGTTTACAAGGAATACTGACTTATTAGCATAGTACATCTCCATTGTGATACTCATAATAATATTATTTTATTTATTGTGTAGATTTATTATAATAAACATATCTGAATATCTAACTTGACGGAATTCCTTGGTTGACGAATCATATTCAGAAACGACTTCGTCTTGTGTTTGGAAGCAGTGACTAATTTTTATTCATTGGTGGTGACGGCGTTATTCTATTGATATGGGAGCACCGACGACGCTTTCCGTTATTGGTATAATATTTTTGTTGTTTGGCGTTTTCGTTGGATGGTTCGCTTTTCCAAAGATGATACACAAAAAAATATTGGAGGTAAAGATTATTATAATAACTACAATAAAAATAAATAAATACCTAATAATATCATAGAMATTTTATGTATTTATCCAAATTTTTAATTTTTAAAAGCACAATACTTTTGAAAAAAGTATTGCATGAATATTAAATATTGAACCAATAGTTTCTTGTTTTCATTTAATAAAGTACTAATAAGGTTCTTTAAGTTCAGATTAATTTAGTTTAAAGGTATAATACCATGGTTTATTACAAGTGATGCTCACGTTAACCTCATTCCTTTTTTTTTTCAAATTTACATCATTGTGAATAAAAAACTATCAGGTATTTTTTTATATTATATATATATATATATATATATATATATATTAAATATTATTATTTACAACTGAAATAAATGTAGACATAATATGTATTAATTCAAGATTCAATATGTTTCTTATATTCATGAATAAAAAAACCGTTATTTAGTTACATTCTAATAAATTGTATTATTTATCACAAAATAAATATTTTAGTTACATTATGATAAGAGGGTCAGAAATAGATTTTTTTTTTATTTGACTGGTTTTTGACCAGTTCGAAAAATTATAGTTCGATAATTTTTTTATATACACTTTTATGTAACTATTTAATTACATTACTTAGTTTTAGGTTAGCAAATCTTTTAGTATAATATCTAACTATTGTGAACTAACTTACTAGTCATATTTTACAAGAAACTAACTCAACATTATAATACAATATAATATAGTATATATTATATAAATAATACATGGAAATGGGAAAATTATAGTTCAGCAAACATCCTCCAATGTGTTTACTAATCTATATTAGATCTCACCGAATATTTAAGCGTGAAATAAATATTAATAACACAAACTTATAGATATAATATAGTTACCTAATAGGTACATCAAACTGTTAGTGACATCAATAGCTAACGACAAAATATCATCGACGTCATAATTGAAAACGTAGTTTTAAAATAAATTTTTAAATTATAACTACGTATAAAAAAATATTAATTCTATAATATAATAATATTTTACAAAAATCATGAAATATAAAATATCATTTGAGTTAACAATTTGAAATGTTATATACAAATATGTCCCGACACACTAAACTATGATTGAAAAACGAATGAGTCATCATATAGAACCTGAATTAAATTATAGCTATTAATTGATGATGAACTCAAGGCCTAGTCAAGAGAATTATGAGGATCAACGACATCTGAGAAAAGTTAGTTTTACCTTTCAAACATTTCATGCTTAAAGATAAAAAAAAATTCAAAATGTTTATCATTATTTTTAATTTGTTGTAGCATATTACGTTTCCTGTAAGATGTTAACTATTATTTTTTTTTAATGCAGTTAATATCTGCAATAAAGATTATCATTAAAAAAAAATTTAAGGTTGGTACATTGAAAAAAAAATTTTGGTAAATTTTACAATGGTGTATATACAGCTTAGGTAGAATAAATGCTAAAAATATTGAAAACATAATATATTCTTATAAGGGTAAATAGTAATTACTGGAAATCCGAAATAGAGTATTAGAGACTAAAAAAATATCTATGTTATTATTTCAATGAAGTAATTTTTCATTTTCTCATTAGATTTTCTTAGACACAAGCTATGTAGTATGAAAAGCAACAGAGAACTGTAAAACAAATGAAAAATACATTCATTGCTTCACTCAGAATCTGAAATGTTAACTGACCCATATTTAAACAAGCTATCGACTCATAATAAATTTTAAATTGTGTAGTTTATTGTGGTTTTCAAAATTAAATATTAGAAAATACCTCTATCCTATCCCTATGTTAGAATGATCAAGACCGAGCAATTGTCTTACATCCGGTCACTGCAAACGCCTATATACAGCTGGATTCTTAAATACTAATTTCCGATTTCCAGATATTTTAAATTGTCTATTTGTGAAACTAAGTTATTAATGTCTTGCCTTGGATAAAAATTGATTTCAAAATCGGTTTCTTCTCTAATTTTATATAGGCAGCACGACATTATATATTTTAATAACAAGTGTCTATTGCCTTATTCCAGACTATTATACATACGTTATTATAACTATACACCATTCGTTGCACATTATACTAGTAATTACTAAAATTATTTCTAATTACATAACACAAATTCATGTCATTACTCATTGTTGAAATAGAAACGTAGGCAACATTTTTGTAGGTATGTAATCATATGTTATTGGCTTATTGTATTTTATTTTAGGTAAATTACACAGGTACTTACAACTATGTTTGCTCAAAAAAAGTGTTTAATTTTTACATAACCTAGTATTTTTCAGTTTGAAATTTATTCGCAAAATTTTTTCTATTTATAGATTTTTAATAAAAGATCCCCTACAAACTTTTTTACCTTAAAAAAAATAACATTTATTTTTCACTAGTATTCGAATTTAAAATGTTATTTAATTTTCATCAGTAAATTAAAAATTTTCCATCTGTGGATTTTTGATATTCTGTTGTAATTCGAAAACGAATAACCGTAGACTTGAAATTTTCAAAAATATTTTTACTAACATTTTCCATACGTGGTAAAATTTTCAAGCTATTTTGGCACTATTTAATTTATAGCCATGAAAAAATTTTCAAATTTTTTAAATCACTTTTCAGTTAAAAACTTATAACAGTTTTCCTTTTCGAAACTAACATTAGAAATTTTATTAGAAAATACAAAGTATTTTAGTCAAATACAAGTAATAAATAATAAAATTTAAAACAATGGTTTTTTTTTCATAATTAATTTCTGGAAAAATTTTATTAGAAAATACATTTAATTCTAATAACAATATAATTAATATCGAATAACATATGCTAGATTGACAAACCGTCTCAGCTCAGAATTGTTTTTAGTATAAAATGATATTATATCCTTGAATTAAAATTCAATACCCCCAAAAGTAATCCACTTGTAACCTACTGTACAGTTAAAGCAGCATCCACTTACCCGCTTATTTAATATAATTTATAAATTTCAAATATGGCAATAAATTGCTTCAATAGTTATTAAATCATTATGATTTATGACTAATTTGTAACTACTCAAAATATTATAGATAAAATATTCTAATTTCTATGACATTAATACACATTACTAATTTTAATAAATTGAAATTCAATAATAGCCTTACCACATCAACTGCATATAATGTATTTACATACATCATGCCATCATGATGTATAATTATTTGTTCTAAATTATATTATGCCTTTGGAGCATATCTAAGCACATCAATACTTTTTAATGATCCCCCGTAAAATTTAGGTTAGGCAACCTGATGTCTGTCAAGCTCATCAGCAGTCTATACAGTTACTCCGATTAGGCAACTATACATTGACCTGTTTTATTTGTGCAATACTATCAACACATATTAATACGTATATAGATATAAATTTTGGAAAGCAATCTTCAATCTGTAATTTTAGACATGAATATTTTTCAAAATTATGATGATACAATTTAATTTCATTAAAATTTTAACTGATTTTTAGTCTCTAACACACCATCCATACGGTCATAAAATCATAAACATCTTAACAGTGATAGTGTAATGTTTTCTAATAGATGGAAAATAATATGACCGTTCCTGATTAAAATTATTCTATACAATGTATATAGCCAGTGGCGCACAGAGGTATTTTAAGAGCACATGCAGTTAAAAAAAGTTAGCCACCCACCCACCCAATTTTTTATTTATAACAAATATTTTCATTTTTGTTCACTGTAATTCAAAGAAATCAATTAGTATAGACTAGTTTATGTTATACWTTTTTAATTTCTCTATGAAACCTGCAGTAGTACAGACCCACCCCCCTCGAGAACACATGCAGTTGCATTTCTTGCTAACCTGTCTGGGCGCCACTGTATATAGCTAGTTTTAATTGTGTAAACATATTGTTCATAACCTACCTATGTAAACATCACTTTAAACAGTATTACGCGTATAATACCTTGAAATGAGTCTGTAGAGTAAATTAAAAAAAAACCCGAATTATTATATTAATAATATAATTTATATTTTGTACAGCGCATACGATGAATGTTCAATTTTATATTTGTTAATTCACCGGTCAAACACCATTATCTGCAGAAGAAAATGTAATAAAAATCAAGCATATTGCGTTGTATTCAATCTGTACGTTACACTATGACTGAACCCAAATAATTTTCTAGAATCACGTTCTTTTAGAGTACATAAAATCCAAAAAAAAAAATAATAATAATTGAAATAAAATTGAAAAATGCTATATGTAGGTACGATCGATGTTAACGACAAGAAATATGGAATGTATCCTTTTCAAAAACACATCTTTATAGAATCAGTTTTATTTTTCAACAAAATCAATGTTTAAAAATCTATTATATTTTCTAACAAGAAGTAGTAGTTATAATAATAACAGCTGCAATAATAAATATTTTCAAAGCATTCGTGTAAGTGTTTATTTATTTGTTGGCACATTTTATCAGCAAAATAAATATTTCTTTCACAATATTTCACATAGGTACATTGCGACCAAATCAGCGCATGTCTTTGTCAATAAGCAATACGCACAACTTACTTTATTCGAATAAGCTATTTCTTTATAATAATAACTAAATTATTAATGCTTTTATACGTTTCATTTAATCAAATATGAAGATGCTATAAACACTTATTGCAAAAAACCAAAATGTGAGCAATTTAAGCCTCTATTTTAAACACTTATTATTTCGAAGTTTTAATATTTTTATATAATTTTATGACATTTGAAAACAACATTTTTGATGGAAAAAATATCTTCTTCTTCAGTTTTTTATTGCAATTTATTTCTAAGTTATTTAATTGTTTGAACGACAACATACATTTTTAGTTTCATATCTCGAAGTATTTTAAGTTTTAATAAGCATTGAAGTGGACTAACATTTTGTAGAATAGCTCTGTGCAACTCTACTCACCTAATCTGTATTTTAAATAGATAATTATCATAACT